CTCTGAGAGGGATAGAGGAATGGAACCCGGGTTGGCCACGTGCAAGGCAAATGTTCTACCCGCTGTACTATTGCTCCAGCCTGAACAACTTTGTAACTGAAAAAAATAATAATAAAGAGCAATGATAAGTTATTTTAAAAGGAACAAAAAACATGTACACATTGACTGTCCCTTCTCTTTTTTGTTTCTGTGAACAGGATTCACACACAGTTGCTTAAAGCTTCTCAACACACTTTGGCGGTGAGCCTTGGCTCAGCTCACTTTTAGTATTGGTGCTTAATGCACATTTTGGTTACAGTAGTCTCACACTTGATAATGGTACTCAGTGTTCCCTAGGGACCAGGCTGTTATGTTACAAAAGTTTTCCCTGTTCTAGACTTTCATAAAAGTTAAATCATAGTGGGGCGGGGGGCGGGGGGGAAACAGAGAGAGTGAGTTTCTGGTTCTGTTATAAATTTTAAAAAAGAAATTTTTTTTTTGGGTTACTCCCAGTGATGCACAGGGGTCACTCCTGGTTCATGCACTCAGGAACTACTCCTGGTAGTGCTCCGGGGACCATATGGGATGCTGGGAATCGAACCCAGGTTGGCCGAGTGCAAGACAAATTCCCTACCCTTTGTGCTATTGCTCCAGCCCCTATAAATTAAAATTTTTATATATTATGGTGTTTTGATGTGAAAAACTTTTTTGGGGGCCACACCCGGTAATGCTCAGAGGTTGTTCCTGCCAGTGATCAGGGGACCATATGGGATGCTGGGGATCAAATCCAGGTTGGACATGTGCAAGGCAAATGCCCGACCCACTATACTATCGTTCCAGTCCTGAAAAATCTTTTCTTGCTGGGGTGAGACTACCCTTCTGTAGGTTAGTCAGTTCCTAGGAAGGTGAAGGGACGGCCCGAGCTTGCTCCTTCCATGCAGAGTAAGTGTAGAGCCCAACTTGCTTTGTCTGGCTTTTACACCGTGGCACATAGTGGTCCTTTGCCACCATTCTGGGGCCAAGTGCCGGAGAGTGTGAAGCCACCAGAGTTCACTGTCCTCACTCACACCAGCTCAGCCTGACTGTTCCTGCCCAGCCTCCCTTGTCCTGAGGAATCCCTGCCAGAGCTTGCGGTCTAAGGGTTCCTCTCATTTCTGGCTTCTCCCCGACCACCCTGCTGTCTTTGCGTGGGGCCTCTGTCTCCTCTTAAGGCTGCACCTGACCATTTCCTTAAGGAACACACTCCAGACTTTCTTGAAGCTTTTGTATCAGTCTTTTCTCCTATCTCATTATTAAGTAGCATAAGTGATAGGGATATACCTCAGCTTGTTACCCCATTCACTTCGTTCATGGGTATTTGGTCATTTCAGGTCTTGGCTGCTATAGATCAGACTTCTCTGGGTGCTGGTGAGGTGACTCATTGAGGGAGAGAGAGAATGCCTGCATGTGTAAGATCCTAGGTTTAGTTTCCAGTACTTCAAGACAAATAAAACGCCTCCTTTGAACATTCCCTCCTAAGTCCGTGTAGACTTAACATTTCCTCAGCCTTAAGTAAAAAGACCTAGGAGCGGGGGGCCAGGGAGACAGCACAGTGGGCTGAGCACATGCGGTGCTTGCAAGAGCCTCTGCTTCAATCCCCAGCTCTGCGTGTGCTCTGGGCACTCCACTGGGAATAGCACCCAAGTAATTTTTTTTGGCTTTTGGGGTCACACCCAGTGATGCACAGGGACTACTCATGGCTCTGCACTCAAGAATTACTCCTGGCAGTACCCAGGGGACCGTATGGGTTGCTGGGGATCAAACCCAGGTTGGCCACGTGCAAGGCAAACCCCTACCTGCTGTCCTATCACTCCAGCCCTCCCAAGTATTTTCAGGTTGAATCACATCCCCATCCCAAAGTCTAAAGGAAGGATGCCTGTGTTAGGTTGGCCAGAGTATTTTCAAGTGACTGAAGTATTTTTTTTCTTTTTCTTTTTGGGTCACACTGGCGATGCATAGGGGTTACTCCTGGCTCATGCACTCAAGAATTATTCCTGGCATTGCTTGAGGGACCATATAGGATGCTGGGAATCAAACCAGGGTCGGCCGCATGCAAGGCAAACGCCCTACCCACTGTGTTAGTACTATATGAAATTTTCAGTTGATACCATTGTATGTTTGTTACACGTTTTAAATTTATTCTAGGGGCCAGAGAACTAGTACAAGTTAGGTGCTTGCCTTATATGCACCTGACCGGGGCTCAATCCTGACACCACATATGGTCTCCCAGACCCCACCAAGAATGATGCCTGAACACAGCAGAGTGGTGTGTGGCCCCCCCAAAAAAACTAAGTAATAAAATTGATTCTAGTGACTGGAGATATAAGACAAAGTTTAGAGGACATACCTTGATATGCCCAACTCCAGTTGGGAATGAATGCCCAACATCACATGTCCCTCTGAGCATCACTGGACGTGTCCATGCAAGCGCCTTGAGCACTGGGGTGGCCTTGCCTCTACGAGGCCCAAACTGTGCTGTTTCTCTGGGCTCTGGCATTGGACTTTCCTGCCTGGTTGGCAAAGAATTGTCAGGAGTGACCCAGTCCCCTGAGCACTGATTGGGAAGGGCCTCCCTCTAAAAGAAGTCAGACAATTTTGTTGTTCTTTTTTTTTATTTTTTTGTTTGTTTGTTTGGGCCATACCTGGAGATGCTCAGTGGTTACTCCTGACTCTCCACTCAGAAATTAATCCTGGTGGTAGTGCTCAGGGGACCATATATTATGCCAAGGATCAAACCCGATCAGCCACTTACAAGGCAAATGCCCTACGCACTACACTATCACTCTGACCCCCAGAATTTTATTACTCTAATGGACGTTTAGTAATGTCTTATTCTGGTCTTAATTTGCATTTCCTTGATGAGTAGTGAAATGAAGCATTTTCCAGTGTGCATGTTGGTTATTCTTTGCCTGTCTCTGATGCTTCATCTTGCTCTCTAGTTATTTCCGTTTTGTTGTTACTAGGGTTTTTGAGCCATACCTGGAGGTGCTTAGGGACCACGCATCTGGCTCTACTCAGAAGTGACCCCTAGTGGTGCTGGAGAACAATTTGCAGTACAGGGGATCAAACCAGGGTCGACCACGTGCAAGGCAAGCACCTTATCCCCTGTACTATCATAGACTATACAAACCTAGATTTATTTTTTAGAGCAGTTCTAACTTAATTGTAGAATTGAGTGAAACTCCGATTCCCATATACCTTTACCCCTTATTCGTGTGAAGCCTCTCACCAAAGTAAGACATTTGTTACTACTCTGATATTTCACTATCACTCAGTCCATAGTTTACCTTTGGGTTCACCCTTCGTCTTGTATGTTCTGTAGAGCTGGACAAAAGAATATACATGATAGTATCATGTAATCTTTCTAATTCTTCTTCCTTTGTGTGGAGTTAGGGATTGAGCCCAGGGTCACATGTATGCAAGGTATACACTCTACCACCGAGTGTATAACTGGACTTCATCTATTATTTTCCATATGTTGATTTTTACAAGGCATATGTTCTATCACTGAGTTACATCCCTGGGCTTCGTTCATATTTTCAGAACTGAAAATTTATTTTTAAAGTGATGTTTTTATAAATAACATAATAGTTGAGTTTTTCTTCTTGTTTTGTTTTGGCCGCAGCAGGCAGTGGTCAGATCTTACTGCTGACTATGTGCCCTGGGATCACTCTTGTTGTTGTTTGGGGGATTACATGCAGTGCTGGGTATCCAATTAGAGTTGACCACGTGGAATGCAATCACACCCATGAATTTCCTTTCTCTTTACATTTTTATGGTTCGGGGGCCACACCTGGTGGTGCTCAGGGCTTACTCCTGACCCTGCACTCAGTGATCACTCCTGATAGGGCTCAGAGGACAATATAGGGTTCCAGGGATTGACTCTGGGTCAGTCATTTACAAGGCAAGAGCCGTACCCAGAGAAACAAAATGTCCGGAGCTAGATTTTGCTTCTTGCTCTTGGCAATCTGTTTTCTAATTGGTATATTTAGATCATTTGTGATAGTAATTCTTGTTATACTTTGATGACTCTCATAAATATGGTTACTATTTTCTGTTTGTTGCTCTATTTTTACTCTTTATCTCCCACTCTTTTCTGCCTATTGTGAAGTATTGAGCATTTTTTGTTTGTATTGTTTTATTTTACAGTGCTGAGGATTGAATCCAGATCTCATGTATGTGAGGCATGCACTTTACCATGAAGCCACCTCCCTGGCCCTGTTGAGCATTAATTTTTGTATTCCATTTTTCTTTCCTTTACTAGTATATCAGTTATTCTTAAAAAATAATGTGGGGGGGGCAGAGAGATTATACAATTGGTAGGGCTCTTGCCTTCTGTGAAACTTGCCTAAGTTTGATCCCCAATACCCTATATTATTCTCAAGCCCCCCAGGAGTGATTCCTAAGTGCAGAGCCAGGAGGAATAAGCCCTGAGCATTAGCTAAGTGTGGTCCAAAAAACAACAACAACAACAAAAATCATAACCACTGGACTGGAAATATTGCTCAAAGGTATGGAGTTCATGTTTTGCATGTAGGAGGCCTGAGTGTGAGGCCTGCATTCAATTTTCCCCCAGCACCACCGTGAGTGATCAGCTAATACTGAGCTAGGAGTAGCCCACAAACAAATAAAAAGATAAACGTATACACAAAACTGAGGGGCCAGAGATAGAAAGTAGGGTGCTTGCCTTGCCCTTAGCTGACCCAGGTTGGATCTCCAGCACACCATATGGTCCCCCTGAGCACAAAGCCAGGAGTAAGACCTGGTTTAAAATTAAAAAAAAAAAAATCAAGGAAAAAACACATACATAAAACTGAGGTTAACTAGGTGAGAGTGGGATGAGAACACTGGCAGAAAGGGTCCAGGAGACTGGTAGAACTTTATTTGCATCTTGGTGGTGGGTCTGGTATGGTATATCATCTCCTGAAACAAAAACATTTGCATTCCTATGAAGTGTTTTACCAGTCTAACTTTCCTTCTAGGTGGTACAGCTGTATGCTGGGAAAGAAATGCAGCCTGGCTCCTCTAAAGGAAGAACTTCGTATACAAGGGGTAAGACTTGATCATTACCTTCCTGATATATCTACTTTCATGGTTGTTGAAATACAAAATTTTTCATAGCACAGCGGGTAAGGCCTCTGCCTTGCATGCAGCCGATGTGGCCAACCCGAGTTCGATTCCTCCGCCTCTCTCGGAGAGCCTGGCAAGCTATCCATGACGCATTCCATATGCCAAACGCAGTAACAAGTCTCACAATGGAGATGTTACTGGGCCCGCTCGAACAAATCTCTGAACAACGGGAGGACAGTGACAGTGACCTTAAAACTATAAGCATACGTTTATATATTTTTGCTGTTTTGTTTTTGTTTGTTTGCTTTTGTAAGTGTGAAAGGGATTATTTTGAGATTATTGAAATAAAGCCCTTCTTTCAGTTCTAATAAAGAATAGGTTGGGAAAACTGAATGACTAGAATATTAGAGAGAAACCAGAAAATTGGGTGTCTGCCTACCACTGACTCACTTTGGCTCTTAGCATTGAAGAAACTGAAGGCTGTAAGTTAAGCCTACTCCAGGTCACATGGCTAGATATCATAGAAGAGCTCAAAGTAGAGCCACCTCAGTTCAGAGCACTTCCTGCTGTAGGGCTGGAATGAAAGTGCACAAGAAATCAGTCCCTGGTTTCTGTTTTGAGAAGTAGCTCACAAGCAAATGCTCTCCCTCACCCACCTCCCAATTTATGATGTTTTGGCGTGAGTTAGTGTGAGCAGTAGAATGACTTAAGGAAAGGTCAGTGGTAGAAACCAAGCTTATGATATCTCATATCAACTTTCTCTGAGTCCAGTTTATCTCTGATATACTCTTCATCTATTTTTCTAACACTTTTTTTTGTAAAAAATAAACTTTATTGGATCCCGTGAGATACAGTTACCAACTTTCATGATTACGTTTCAGTCATACAAGGCTCCAGCACCCATCCCTCCACTGTGCACATTTTCCACCACCATTGTTCCCAGTGTCACTCCTGCCACCCCCACCCCATCCCACCCCCTGCCTCTATGGCAGGTACTTTCCTTCTTACTCTCTAATTCTGGGCATTATAATTTGCAATACAAATACTAAGAGGCCATCATGTTTGGTCCTTAGTTTAGTTTAGTTTCAGCACATATCTCCTATCCCAAGCAATTCCTCCAATCATCATTTGCTTAGTAGATGAAATCCCAACTGCCTTTTCCCCCAGCACATGGGGCCGGCTTCCAAACTGTGGAATGATCCTCTTGGCCCTTGCTTCTACTGTCCTTAGGTGTTAGTCTCCTACTCATATTATGCTACTTTATATTCCACAAATGAATGCAGTCATTCTATGTCTATCCCTCTCTTTCTGACTAATTTCACTTAACATGATACTCTCCATGTCCATCCACTTATATGCAAATTTCATAATTTTATCTCTTCTAACAACTGCATAGTATTCTATTGTGTAGATGTACCAGAGTTTATTTAACCAGTCATCTGTTTTCGGGCACTCGGGTTTTTTCAAGATTCCTATTGTGAACGGTGCTGCAATAAACATACAGATGCAGATGTCATTTCTGCTGTGTTTTTTTCATCTTCAGGATATATTCCCAGGAGTGGTATTTCTGCATCATATGGGAGCTCAATTTCTAGTTTTTGGAGGAATGTCCATATTGTTTTCCAAAAAGGCTGGATCAGTCGGCATTTCTACCAACAATAAATGAGAGTCCCGTTTTCCCCGCATCTGTGCCAGCACTGGTTGTTCTTGTTCTTGTCGATGTGTGCCAGTTTCTGTGATCCAACACCGTTTTTTGTTAAAATTATAGCCACTGCAAAATAGTTCTTCCCCCCTTCACCACCCTGAAATTTGAGAGGCAAAAGGAAGTCGACATAGAAGTGCTTAGTCAGCTTTTGGAACTCTTCCAATGGGGGTGGGAGGTGGGGATTTTACTCTTACGGGCCAGAGAGATAGTACAGCAGATAAGGCACTGCTTTCCTTGCACACACCCACTGCCCAACCTAGGTTCGATCCTTAGCACCCCATATTGTCCCTGAACCCTGTCAGTGGCCCAAAGCAAGGGAGTGGGGAGGTAGAAACCTAGCATTTTACTTGTTTCAGGTGTCCTATATTTAGAACTTGAAGCCCATACTATAAATTCTCTCATTTTTTTGTTTTTGGTGGTGTTGTGGATCAAATGCAGGTCTCATGCATGCAGATCACACATTTTATTTTTGAGTCACAACTGTGACCCTCTAGTGTTTTATGGGAACAAAAAAACACACGTTTGTTGGGAAATGATTTATTCTTTGATATTTTCTTTTATTTCTTTTTAAAGGCAGCTACATATAGCTTTGAGGAATAGTTAATATTCAACTGAAAAAGAAATACCAGTGCAATTTAATGTGATACAATTGCAAAGAACATATTGGTGGAACGATTTCAGTTAGATGAGATGCTGTGTTTGTTGGTTTCAGGTTCCCAAAGTCACCTTCACTGAATTTTGTCAAGGTCGGACAATGAGATGGGCTTTAGCTTGGAGTTTTTATGATGATGTAACGGTACCTGTAAGTACAGAATTTGCTTTGGCTTCTTTAAGTGAAAGCACATTTAGTAAGTCATTAATGAACTGAATCAGTGGTGTCTGTTTCCCTGAGGTTTACCCTAAGTACTTATGTCAAAATGGAATGTTGTTGTAAATAGAAAACAACAGAAAGGGCCAGAGAGAACTTCCAGTTCTTGGAAGACTGATCTGGAACTGTTCTCCACGGGTTTAAGTGACAGCGATTCTGACTCAGCAAACAAATGACTTGGAAATGTATTTTTTTACGATTAAAAAGTGCGTTAAGGCCAGAAAAGATAGTACAGTGGGTAAGGTACTTGCCTTGCATGAGGCTGACCTAGGTTTAAATACAAAGATACATGGAAGACTGGGTAGGACAGCTTGTAGAGTGCTTGCCTTGTGTGATCCCTGTCAAGAGTGATTCCTGAGCACAGAGCCAGTTGTGATCGCCAAAACAAAAATGAGTAAATGCAGTGACGTGTGTGAAGCATTCAGGCAGCATCTCAGTGCTCTGATCTCCTACATCTTATCAGTATTCTGCACGCAGTGCTCCTCCTTACTAGAAGCCTACATCACTCTTTTGAACACTTAACAAATGCTGAGCACCAGATATTGACAGTCATGCCTATGGTGCCACCAGTGTCTCACTGGCCCAGCATGAAATACCTCCCAAACTCCTGAACATTCTTGTTCCTACTATTCATTCCAGCACTTAATCATATACAACTTTGAACCAATACTTCATGTCTTTCTTTCCATAAAGCGAATTATCAGACCAGATAGGTAGCTCAGTGGGCTAGAGCACAGGTGTTGCAGCTGGAGCCTATGAGCAAGCCCTGAGTACTGAACACTGAGTACTTGCTGAGCAACCCTGCTCAACAAAAGCTTATCATGTGGGGTAGAAAATCGTTGAGAGTACAGGGGGTAGGGCACCGACCTTGTGCATGGCCAACTTAGGTTCAACCCCTACCATCACATATAGTCCCCCAAGCACCACCAGGAGTGATCCCTGAGTACAGAGCCAAGTGTAAGCCCTGAGTACTGCCAGGTGTGACCTAGAAACCCCAAAAGAAGAAATGATGTCTTGCTTCTTTGTTATAATGGAGAACACATTAAGAAAAGGAACTAAGAAACAAGGGGTTCTTAGTTTGGTTTTGCTCAAAGTTCAGCTCCTTAACTTTTTTTTTTTTCTTTTTTGGGTCACACCCAGCGATGCACAGGAGTTACTCCTGGTTCATGCACTCAGGAATCACTCCTGGCGGTGCTTGGGGGAACCATATGGGATGCTGGGAATAGAACCTGGGTCGGCCGCGTGCAAGGCAAATGCCCTACCCGCTCTGCTATTGCTCCAGCCCCTCAGCTTCTTAACTATTGCATTTTTTTTAATAGCGGAGTATGTGGCCTTGTATAGTACTAGTTTTCAAACCATTTTCCTAACAACAGAATCTTTTCAGTAAATAAAATCAATGCATAAATTAATAAAAGCAGATCAACTCTTAGTTAAAATGAGACTTGAAGTCCAAAAACCAACCTGACCTACCCTCAACAGTCATCCCCATTTGACACTTACATAGAATCCCTAATCTACCTAGAATTAGTTTAAAAGTGGGGAGAAGAGGTGGAGCCATAGTACAGTGGGTAGGGTGTTTGCCTTGCATACAGCCAACCCGGGTTCATTTCCGGCATCCCATATGGTGTTCCAGCACCAGGAGTGATTCCTGTGTGCAGAGCCAGGAGTAACCCTTAAGCATTGCTGGGTGTGACCCAAACCCCCTCCCCACAAACAAACAAGCAAAAAACCCAACAACAACAACCCTATGGAATAGTAAGGGGAAGAGTCTCAGGAGTCCCAAGCTCTGACATTAGCAAAGTTACCTTAATCAGTTTGACACCTTCTCTGCAAAAACCTCCCAGTGGTTACTCCCTAGACAGAAAATTCCAGACTTAAAGGAATGTCCTGAACACAGGAGAATACAATTTTAAATCAGAGTTCCTGCACAAAGCTCATTTTAGGTAGATTATCACTAATAGATACTAATTAAACAGATCGGGGATTCTATGTGGGTGCTACAGGGGATGACAAATGGGGTGAGTCCAAAGCACACCAAAAGCGCACAATTTATGAGAATCACATTATTCTCCCTTTTCCTTTTAACAAGTGTCCAAATCCTGAAAGCAAAGCAAAAGTAAAATAACACCTTGAACAGCTAATTAGAAGAAGCTGAAACAGTGGTTTATCTTAAGTGGTTTACTAAAATTCCCTGAAGAACAGGCCTTGGGACTGGAGAGATAGTACTTTGGGTTAGGTGCTTGCCTTTCATGAAGGTAATCTGAGTTTGATCTCCTGTATCCCATTTGGCCGGTGTGGCCCCGAAGCAAAAAAACCAGGAAGAACAACATTAGCCCTTAATGGGACTGGGATGATAGCTCAACAGGCTGGAATGCATGCCTTCTAGGCATGAGACCTCATGCTTAATTGCTGGCACTGCATTGCCCCTCAGTGCAGCTCTGTATAGGCCTGGAAGTCTCCAAACACTAGCAGGGTAGCACTGATGGCCTGCAGCACCACTGGGCCCAAGCCACATAGCATCAGCTGACCTGAACATTGAACTGTCCAGCTTGTTTGGCCAATTGTCTGGTCGAGTATTACCAGGAGTGGCCTCTGGCCTAGTTGAGCATTTCTCGGAATGCCCCCAAAATATAAATAAATAAATACATATCCCTACAATACGTTTCCTTATAGTCATCATTAATCTGAAATGGTTGTATAAGAATTCTTTCAATGCTAGAGCACATCTTTTCATTTCTAAAATGAATCTAGATCAGTGCAGTGGGCTTACTGAATGCACATGACTCATGTTAGCAGTAAATTAGAATTTTCAACAGAAATGAATCAGTAGCCCTAAGTTGTGGGATGCGGTGGTGAGGAGGGGGCGGGGCGGAGGGGAACTAGGTCAGTAGTTGTGTTTAACTACCTGTGGTCCTTAGCTTCCTCTCATCATCCTCCCTCCCACAATCCCAGCCAGAGCAAGAGAAGAAAGGTAAACAGTTCCAAGAACAAGCTGAAAGAAACCTAGATAGAGGGAAGGAGAACCAAGAGGACGGCTCTAAAACCTCACCGCTGCCGTCAGCACCCCTGGGAAAGCAGTTGCTGATCAAGGGTACCAGTGCTAAGAAACTGTTGCTGGGATACCTCGAATCAGAAATTGCCATTTTCCCTGCAGCTGTTTTAAGTGCTGCTAATGGAACACTTGGGAATGCATTATTAACAGCTGTGGATTGGGGGTAGTGGTGGGGAGGGACCAGTATTCTGGAATGAGAAAAACCAGAGGCCCTTAGCAAGAAGCATTCTTGGATGAGCAAGGCTAAGAATGGCCCTCAGAAGTCAAGGAGACCTAGGTGGTTCCTTTTCAAAATAAGCTGATTTTGCTAACACAGTAGTGCTCTTTGACTTTGTTCTAAAATAGCTACCAACCCAGAACATTAAAGGGCAGCTCTGGTCTGTGAGATGACATGGAGAATGCCAGAGCTCACTATCTGCTCTCTGCCTGCAGTATTAAGAGACGTGGGAAGCAAGCAAAACAGCCCTTGCGAGGATGCACTTCCACGCTGCTGCAGTCATGGTGTGGGCATGGGGGCAACCCAGAGCATTTCTGGTGGCACATGGAATTCTAGAACAGTGGTTTTGAGTGGCCCGTGGGTGCTGCCAGTCTGTAGGTATAAAAACCTAGAATCTTGGTTATTTTTGTTGTTTTGTTTTAGGGCTGGAGCGATAGCACGGCGGGTAGGGTGTTTGCCTTGCACGCGGCAAACCCGGCTGACCCAGGTTTGATTCCTCTGCCCCTCTCGGAGAGCCCGGCAAGCTACTGAGAGTATCTCGCCTGCATGGCAAAGCCTGGCAAGCTACCCGTGACGTATTCGATATGCCAAACACAGTAACAAGTGTTACAATGGAGATGTTACTGGGCCTGCTTGAGCAAATTGACGAACAACGGGAGGATAGTGACAGTTTTGGGGCCACACCTGGCTGTGTTCAGGCTTTTCTCCTAGCTCTGCTCTCAGGGATCGTTCCTGGCAGTGCTCAGGGAACCATATGTGGTGCTAGGGATCCCTGTGTTGGCTATACATGCAAGGCAGGCACCTTATCCACTGAATTTTGTCTCTTGCTCAAAGAGCCTAGCTTCTCAAACTGTGGCTCACAACCTCAAAACTTAAAATTTTGTTTAAAAGATTTTTTCTTTAGACTTATTACCAACAAATGTTGGTAATTTGTAGACCTATTCAATATACCAGTCTCCCTGGGGTTCTATAAAATTTTCTCAGACAAGGGATGGGACAGATAGCTCAAAGGGCTAGTACAAATGTTTTGCAACTAGAATGCCCAGATTTGGTCCTTGGCATCAAATGTGGGAGCAGTGCTTGAGAAACTTTCCAGAGTAAATTTAATAAAAAAAATTTTTAAAAAAACATCTTTTTGGAGGCTGGAGTGATAGAGCAGCAGGTAGGGCGTTTGCCTTGAACACAGCCAACCCAGGTTCAATTCGCAGCATCCCATATAGTCCCCTGAGCACTGCCAGGAGTGATTTCTGATTGCAGAAGCAGGAGTAACCCCTGTGCATTGCCAGGTGTGACCCAAAAAGAAAGGGGAAAAAAAGTATCTTTTTGGGTTGGGGATGTGGCTTAGTGGTATAACACTGTCCTTGCATATATAAGACACTGGGTTCAATTTTCAGCACCACCAAAAATGAGAGAGAATAATTCTTTTAACCTGTGAGTATTTTATTTTGTTTTTGGGGGTTTTTTTGTGGGTTTTTTTTTTTTTTGGTGTGGGTGAGGGGCAAACCTGGCAGTATTCAGCAGTTACTCCTGGCTCTGCACTTAGGAATCACTCTTGGCTTGCTTGGGGGACAATATGGAATGCCAGGGACCGAACCTGGGTCTGTCGCATGCAAGGCAAGTGCCTTACACTGTACTATCTTTCTGGCCCCTAACCCATGAGTATTT